GGGTTTAGGGTTTAGGGGAGGATCATGGGACTTAGTAGGTAAGGTCAGAAGTACCTGAATCTGGGGGGATTATAAGTACTGTAACCATACGCATCGTCACCTTACTTTTGTCCCATGATCCGTTAACTAGTTTTAGGGGTACTCAGAAAAATTCTAAATCTTTGGTTACTATAACTATAACCCCTAAGAAACAGCTAAAACTCTAATTTTTGCTAGGGTCTCAAGTTCAGTATAGTAATACAGAGGTCTGAAATATTCGTTATACTGTTCTCTTGTAGTCCCTAGATGAATCTACTCCATTATCCCCCGGCCCTATACCCAAAACTCCAAAACCTAATTGACAGTGATTTTGAACTGAACGAAGCACGTTTGGGCGCTTTAGTGTATATACAGTGAAATATAGAGTAGTTGTTTGAGGTGCTGGGCTCTGCGGGGTTTAAGGTCTATTGTTTGGCAAGGGTCTTCGGGTCTAGCTTCCAGTTCCTTGCTCCTTCTTCTTGCCCGCGCTTGGTTTCATCTTGGCCTAAACTGAACCAAAAACCCAAAGCGTAACCCCTAAACCGCCCAAACCCTAAACCCTAACTTAAGTTCCTTAAGGCCTAAACCCTGAACCCCTGCATCCTTCGTTTCCGTTGTCGGACCGCAGAAATCTGAGCACCGGGAACCCAAAAGCAAACCGAAACCCCAAAGAACCAACCTATTAGGGTTTAGGGTTTAGGGCTTGGGGCCTAAATCCTAAACCCATTGCCATAAGACCTGGACCCTAAACCCTAAACCCTAGCCATGAAATCCGAAGCCTACAGGCCCTTTACCTTAACTCTAAGCCCACCCTCCGCCCCCCACACGCCCACAAAGAAACCAAAAACAGCCCTAAACCCTAAACCCTAAACCCTTCAAAGCCCGGTCCAGACTGGCTTCCGCGCCGGCGTGCGGGCTCTCGTGGTGGGGTGCCTGGGCTCTTGTTGAGGAGCTTTAGTTTAGTTTAGGGTTTAGGGTTTAGGGTTTAGGGTTTCGGGTTTAGGGTTTAGTTTAGTTTAGGGTTTAGTTTAGTTTAGGGTTTAGGGT